TCCCGCCCACCGCCGCAGCCCTCCTCCACGGGCCCCGCCCCGCCCCGCCCACCGCCCCCGGCCCTCCAGCCTCGGACCCCGCCCCCAGCGTGCCGGAGTCCGCGGCGGGGGCGGGGCTCGGCGTGGGGGCGGGGCCAGAGCCGGGGCTGTGACTTTCCACGCGGGAGAACCGAGAGGGCGGCGGGGCCCGCAGACGGGCGGCCGGCGAACGCAGGGGCTTTAGACGGTGCTCGGACGGTTCCAAGGGTGCTGAGGCGGCGGGAAGGGGGAAAGAGTGCGGGGGGCTGCTGACAGGTCCTGGGGGCTGGCGGGTCCCGAGGGGCGACAGGTCCTGGGAGGACGGATCTGGGATGCTGAGCATCCGCTCCTGGGGTGGGTTTACATCCTGGGGACCCTGGTCCTGAGGGGCTGGCTGGGCTCTTAGGGAGGGGGGGGGGGTCCGGGGGTGAGGGGTGGCGGGCGGTGGGAGAAGGCTCTGAGAGGGAAGGCAGCCCCTGGTTTGGGGGAAGCGCAGGGGCAGGGGTGGCAAGGCCCTTCTGGAGACGGGAACTAGGCCGCTCCCTGCCTCAGGAAGCTTCCAGCAGCCTGCATCCCCCGAGAGAGGACGAGGACGGAGGGGGCAGCAAGCCGTGGGGGCGGGGGTGGCTTTACGTGGAGGAGGAGTGGGGGGAGGGACCAGGTAGAAAGACCCAGCCCCCAGCCCCGCCCCGCAGCCTTTCCCGGCCCTATGGCCTGTCTGGGCCTAAAAACGTCTGTGTGGATCCGCCAGGCCTGACCAGTGGGGCAGAAGCCGCCCCTGTTCTAATCACCTGAGCACTCGCGGGGCCTCATTCCGTCTGACCTCCCTCTGCCCCAACTTCCCATCCATGGTCTGTCCTCCTTCTGCCCCGACTTCCCATCCATGCCGGTTCACCCCAGTGGGGAGGGTGGGAGCGGTGGGAAGAGCCCTGGGGAGCAGGAGGCCTTGCCATCCTAATCCCATCCTGGCTCTTCCTCCCACCTGCAGTGTTCACAGGGCCAAGGCCTGAACCTCTCAGCCCTGTCTGTTCCCTGTGTTCCTGAGGCCACAGCAGCAGTGTCGTGGCCCGCTGCTCCGATGACCCACGCTGCCCTGCTCAGTACGACAAGGGGCGCCTGCTCTGGGAGCCCCTGCTAACCTGTAGCACACCTGCATGCCGGCATGCTTCTCTCCCCATCAGCAGCTCCGTTTCCCCCTGCCGCCTCTCCCGCCCCTGTCCCCAGCGAGTGCTCCTGGGGCAGGTTGGGGCCACTGCCTTTAGGATCCACAGATGTCCCCATTCCCAGAGCTCCCTACACAGCCAGACAGAGGGACCAGGCTCCCCCTCAGTTCCTCCGTCGTGCTCACTGTCTTGGCTCGCAGACAATGCCATTTTTACAGGGAAAATCAAAGCCGTGGTTCTGGAGCGTTCTCTGCCTCCTGCCCTCTTTCTTGTCCAGGGCAGGGGATGAGCCGTCCTCCTCCGCTCTGGGAAGCGCCCCCGTTCTCTTCAGCAATTCCTGTGCCCGTTCTGGCTTCTTCCCGCCTCAGGGTAACAAGCTCCCGTCTCTGTGTCTCTGCCTCGTCTCTCTCTCTCTCTCTCTCTCTCTCTCTCTCTCTCAGCTTGGCTGTGAGACCTGTCCAGCCACCACCCGCCTGGGGCCAGGCCCCTCTGCTCCCATTCCCTCCGGCCGCCTCGCTCTTGCCCGCACGGTGCGGGCCTCTTGTGTCTGTACTGGGGTTTAAGTCTAAGCAGGCTCATTCCCACCGGGTCCTCAGAGGCCCCCCATGTCCTTCGCACGTTTCTTGCCTGACCTCCCCCAACCTGTTACTCTGCTGATGCTCTGTCCCCTCGAAGCTGTGCCTCCGAGACGTTGCACGTTGAGGTTTCTGCTCCATGCCTCTCTCCTGGGCTGGCTCTGCTACCCCTCCCAGCTGGCCTCACCCCTGCTGGGGCTTCAGCCATCAGCTCTCTTGAACCGTCTCCCTCTGGCCCTGCCATCTCCCGGAGAGTCAGATTTGTGGTTGCTCCCAAAGGTGTCCCACGAGTTCCCAGCCGGGTGGTCCCATGCCGCTCAGGGGTACCCACCAGCCCAGGCTGTGTTCGCTTCTGCGGACCTTCTGCGGGGGGTGGGGAGGGCAGAGCTAGGAACCCCTGGGTTTTGGAGGACACAGAGCACAGAAGATCCCCGGAAGAGGAACTGGGGTTTGAGTTCACAAGCACAGATCAAGAACCCCATTCCACGAGGAAGGCAAGTCACAAGGAGTGGACAGGGGAGCGAGCAGAACCAGGATGTGGCCAGAGAAATTCCCGGGAGGCCACGGCGGGGAGCTCCCTGGCCAGGCAAGGGGATGGAGACCTGCAGTCTCAGGGGGTCACAGCCCCTGTCACGCGGCCACCTCTGCCGGAACTCCCTCTTCATCCGTCACGTCCAAGCCCTTTGTTTTCTTGAATAACTCAAGTTGATTTCTTGCCGCTCCTTGTTCCTGCTGTGGCCTCCCACCCGGATGACGGCAAGAGCTCCCAGGCTCCCTGCCTCGCCCTGGTCTCCTTCGGGTCCCTTTCCCACCGCGGCCGAAGCACAGACGCAGCCACTCTGCCAGGAGCTGCCGGGCACTGCTGCCTCCAGGAGCCTGGTCCCCGTTGTCCTTGCTCATCTGACCTCTGCTGACCCTGCTACGCGTTCACCTTCACGGCCCTGCCAGCCCTGCGCTCACGGGTACAACCACACAGACCCTCATACGGGACACACACTCACACTCACACGCGGGCACACACTCACACTCACTCGCGGGCTCACACTCGCTCGCGGGCACACACACTCATGCTCACTCGTGGTACACACACTCTCATGGGCACACACACTCACTTGTGGGTAGACACACTCGCAGGCACACACGCACACTCACGGGCACACACGCACACTCACGCAGCCTGGGCTTTAACCATGCTCTGGTTTCACACTTGCGCAGACCCCTGGCCCTGCCATTTGCGTGAGCTGCCGCTAGTCCTGGAGGGCCCTCCTGTCGCGTGGGGCTCGCCCTCCCAACCCCCTAAGCTGGGACCGTCAGGAGGTGGTCCAAGGGTTCTTTTAAGAATCAAGCTCTAGGGGTCCCTGGGGGGCTCAGTGGCTTAAGGCCTCTGCTTTCTGCTCGGGTTGTGATCCCGGGGTCCTGGGATCGAGGCCCGCATCCGGCTATCTGTTCGGCGGGGAGCCTGCTTCTCCCTCTCTCTCTGCCTGCCTCTCTGCCTACTTGTGATCTCTGTCAAATAAATAAATAAAATCTTAAAAAAAAAAGAAGCTCTAGGCTTACTTTTTTCTTAAACTTTGGGGTTTCTTATATTTTGCTCCTCCCCTTGCCTTTACTTTGTCAGCCTGTCGTGCCATCATTGCAGGGACGCCTCTGAAAAGAGCGGGAAGACAGCTGGAGGGCAGGGAAGCCGGTGGGAAGGGGTCCGAGGTGGCAGGCTTCAAGGGGAAGGGGAAGGGGCTCGGAGCCGGAAGGTGGGCTGTCGGGGCAGGAGTGCACACCCGACGGGGTCTAGCGTCCCAGTGGAGGGGCCAGGTCTTGGTCAGAAACACTGTGGTTTCGGACTGAGCTGAGTGCAGGGTCGCCGGGGCTCCCCGTGAAGGGAGCTGCACTTCTGGTGTGGTGGGCGAGAGTGGCGGGTGGGCAGCGGGTGGAGGGCAGGCCTGGGCCAGCCTGGGAGCGCTGGGCACTGAGGGGATGCGGGGTCGGACGCCCCGGCCGCGGGTGCTCTCAGGACGCAGAAGGAGGGGGGTTATCAGTCCCGAAGTCCATGCAGAGGTGTAGAAGGATGTGGCACTTGGGAAGCCACCCGTGACCTTTCTAGAACCACTACCACTGAGTGTCGGGGTCCACCGCCGGGCTCCAGAGGCCTCGTCGGCAGAGACGGCGGAAGAGCCGAGTCCTCCTCTCAGGGAACGAGGGCGGTTCCAGGCCTGCCTGGGGCCACAGGGGCCAGAAACAGGAACAGAGGGCACATGGGGGATGCTGCAGGGAGGGGAGCATGTGGTGTCACAGCTGCAGGACTCTGTCACCGGCTCAGCGCCCTGTGTCACCTTCGCTGATGTGCTGTCAGCTGCGGACTCCTACGGCCGCACCCTGGGCGGTGGCCACTGCCAGAATCTCCCTCTGTTATCTTCAGCCCCGGCTTACGCCCTTCCCACAGCCCCTGTTCCTATCATGGCCCCCAGCTGCTCAGTGTTCCCTGGGAGCCGTCCTGGCTCGGTCCCGACACGCACCCCGTGGCTTCTCTGCCTCTTCCCTGTCACCCCCGCCTGGAGAGGTTCTGCGGCTCCAGGGCTCGGTCACATACTCATGGCTCCCAGACCTCAGCTCCAGTCCTGGACTCTGACTCTGGCCCCTGGACTTGGGCCGTCATTTGCCTCCCGGCCACCCCTGGGCACAGAGGAATGGGGAGGGCGGAGGGCAAGGGAGGTCGATGGGGGTGGCGTAGTGGACCCACTAGTGTAGCACATTTGAATTCCAGAGCTGGGACACTCACAGTCTTTGGGGCTGCTTGGAAGTCCGGTGGAGCGGGGAGGAGTGGCGGGGCTCTGACCACGGACCATTGGGGTAGGTGGCACTTCCATCCCTGTGGCCCTGCGTGCGCGCTGCCCTCCCTCCCCTTCTAGGGCCTGCTGTCCCAGCCCGGTGTCACTGTCTGTGCCCTCTCTCCGGGGCTTCCCGAGACCCCGCCTGCCCCCTCTCCATCTTACAGTTTCCCCGGCGTTGAGGGGGGCTGGCCGCCGCCTCGCCGAGCCCCGAGCTGAACCCGCTGATGCCCAGGCCGCCTGCTTGGGTCTTGATGGCCGACTTGAGCTCGTGGTTCTCCCGAATGAGCTGCACCAGCTTCTTGAGCTCCTGGTTCTCCCTCACCAGCCTCTCGATCTGGTGCCGAAGCCCCTCATAATTGGTGAGTAGAGACATGCCCCGGGGCGGCGGGACAGGTGCCACCCGAGGGAGGGCGCCACGCCTGGAGGCTGCCCAGGGCCCCGGGCCTTGCCCGGGTTGGAGGAGGCCGCCAGACTTTGCAAGTTACAAGGCGGGCCCAGTGGGCTCTGGGTATTGTGAGGTCAGAGGCTGTGCCCTCCTCCTTGCCCCTGCTCTCCACGCCTCTGGGCTGTGCCCTGGTCCTGCCCTATCTGGAATGCATGGACCCTTCCTCTGTCGGACCACCTTCGCCCTGCCGGCGCCTGCTCTGTCCAGCTTCCTGCAGCCCAGCAAGCTCATCTCTCTCTCCAGCCTCCCCTGCGGCCATGTCATCCCCGCGGCACCCCACCCCCACCCTGCTGTGCCCGGAGCTGCCAGGGCGGGTGTGAGACTGGGGGTTGGGCACCTCCCCAGCAGCCAGCAGCGGGCCCAAGTGCATGGCAGGATCGGTGACCAGGGCAGAAATCTAGAAGGAAAGCTCATCTTCCACCTTCCTGGCCAGGGGGCCCTTTCCTGGGAGGTTGGGCTCGCCTGGGTTAAGCCTGTCAGCCTTCTCCTGGGGACATTCTACCTTGGATACCTGGACAGTGGCCAGACTTTCTTCCAACCCTAGTGCTCAAAGCCTTTGACTGCTGGCCCAGGGGCTCCCTTGTCCCAGCATCTGGCACCCTATAGCTTAGACTTGCCAGTTCTGGTGACTCAGGCTCCCCTAGTCCAAGCCCCCTGTGGCAGCCCTCTGCACCCCCACCCCTGTTCTCTGACTTCCTGAATTTTCCAGACTGTGGGCCTTAGAGCGCCCACGACGTGCCCCTCATCAGACTGTCAGGTTCCGAGAATTCGGACCTGTGTGTCTGCGCCGCGCCCCTCGTTAAGAGCTGTCGACAGGGAGATCTTGGCAGGCCTGACCTTGGCAGTCCGGTGAGGCGGAGTCCCAGGCATCACCCCGGGCTCAGAGAGGACAGCGAGGCCCAGGTCAAAGTCGAGGGTGCGCTCCTGACAGGCAGGTGCGGGTGAGGACGGGTTTGTAGCATTCCATTGGGACCTCACAATGGGGGCCGCCCCCACCCTCCTCCGAGGCCCTAGACCCTAATCCTGGCCCTGGGGGCCGGCCCGCGGCTCTTCACCCCTCTCTGCTGTTTACAGGCCCTTCTCCTGTGTGAGAAAACGCGCTCCCACGGCCTTCTGGTCACCTGGACCACCCAGCGTGGCCTGCCTGTGGGGCTCCCTGGGGTTAGTACATCTGGGCCGGTTGAACTGAGCAGTGCGGGTGGGTGCGCACGTTCTCGTCACACACTGGCTCAGACATTGCTGTGGAAGTATTTTGTAGAGGGATTAACACCTACAGTTGTGGATTATAAATCAAGGTCGTCACCTTCAATCACGGGGGGACCTCGTCTCAGCAGGTGAAGGCTTTCAGAGCAGAAAGCCAGGGTTTTCCAGGGAAGGAGGTGGTGGCCTCAGGGCTGTCCTGGAGACCAGCCTGAGTGTCCAGGCTGCTGGCCTGGGATATGAGCAATGGTAAGGTTCCGTTCCTTAAAATAAATGTCTCCACGCGCAAGAAATCTGACTAATGTGCCCTGTGGGTACCAGGGCGTCTGTCCTCGGCATCCCGGCTCTCGAGCCGTGGCCGCGTGGCCACACTGCGTTAGAGTCACGATGTGTCACACTGGGAGTGAAATAAAACATTTAAAAACTAGAACAGGAAAAAAAGAAATCGGGCATTTAGCGCTGGTTGTGTCCAGGCACCGTCTGTGCCCTGTGGCCCCGGCCCAGCATAGGGAGCAGCTGGACATGGGGTCACTGTGCGGGCCGGGGGGAGCCTAGCGGCGGCTTCCAGCGGGTTAGCTCTGAGCAGCACCCCCAGGTGGATGCCGGTGGAGGAGCTGGTTGGGGGGTGGCCGGGTGGGGAGGGCTCTCGGGCCTGCAGGGCAGGCCTCCCCGGAAGGACCTGCTGGTGGAACCCGAGAGGAAGGGGTGGTAGGGACAGGCCCCGAGTGTGGCCCTCAAGGTCCTCTCCATCCTGAGGGCCATTGCGCAGTCCAGGAAGGTGACACGGGGATGGCCTGGTGGGGAAGAGCTGCCGGGCAGGAAGGGGTCACTGTGGTCACCCAAGCAGCCGCGGGCGGTGCCGTGGAGGTGGGGAGAGCTGAGCAAAGTTTAGTGGCCACGGGTCCAGACGGAGGGACCTGTGGTGTGTGCAAAAGCAGGGACGGCCTCCAGGCTTCTGGTGAGAGCAGGGCTGCTGGTGGTACCAGCGCGGCGGGGAGGAAGCGGAGCTCGGGCAAAGGTCTTGCAACAGGCTTGGGTGTGTGGGGTTGAGGCCGGCCGGCCCCCAGCCTTCCCGGACTGCGGCCCCACCCTGGTCCTGGGCTTCCAGCCTCTGCCCTAAGCCTCTCCCCCCGGTACTGCTGGGCTGAGCGAGACAATCCTGGGTAGTCAGCAGTGTCCCGGTGTCGATGGGATCCGTGTCTGTGGGAACATTTGGAGCATAAGGCAGGTTTGGTTGGTTTATGTGCAAATATGTCCCAGAGAAATGTGGAAACAGCAAAAATCACCTGTGCTGAACACACGGCAAACGCTCTGTCCTCCAACTCCTGCCGCGCCCCGGGCCCCAGCCATGCCGGGCCGTGTCATGCCCATGTCACAACTTCCCCAACTCCAGCCGCAAGCCCATGCCCTCCTCCCACGGTGCTGGTCTTCCAGTAAACACCACTCCCCGGTGTCTGCAACATGCCCCCCCCCCCCCCCGCTTTTTAGGCCCCCCCCGTCGGTGGCTGATGAAGGGCTGGTGGTCCACCCTTCAACCCGAGTTTCTCACCAGTCTTTGGGTTTTCTTGGCTGTTCACCCCTCCTCTGGCTGCATGGCTCTGGCAGTCCCTTAACAGCCACAAGCCGTGGATTCCTCCCCTGTGCCACAGTCCTCCCCTCTACCTCCCCGTCTGCCCCTCTGCCCAGCCACCTGTGACCTGGGCCTGTCCCAGCCCTGTGCAGATGTGCACAAAACCCTAGGCACACACACAGGGGCACCTGAAGGAGAATGAAATCCTGAGGAGAGGGGCCTGCACCGGTGGCGGCAGGGGGAGGGAGCAGGCCTGGGTGGGAGGGGCGAGGGGCTCCGAAGTCTGGAGGAAGGATGGAGGGGCACAGAGGCCAGGACCTTCCAAGGGGCATGGTGGCGGGGGGCGGGCAGGCAGGCAGACGGACAAGGGCAGACAGTGGACAGATATTTGGAGACGCTGCTAGAAAGGGCACCCCCAGGAGGCCACCCTTGGTCAGATACTGGTGGGAGCTGGGGTCCCCTCCAGTTTCCCGGGTCCCCTCTCAGCTACTTCTCAGGCCAAGCTCCGTACTGAGCAGCTTGAGTGTCGAGAGCTGGGGACACACATCCTCAGCTCACTGTGGTCAGGGGACGGCGTGGTGGCCGGTGAACACATGGGAGCGAGGCCTGGGCCAGAGGGGGACTTGGCCACAGTCCCCTGCTCAGACTAGCACCAGCCAGGCTGTTCTCGGAGGGCTTGATGCTGGGAGCGACGTCCATCCGTCGGTGTTTGTCTGGTTCAAGACTGGAGATGGGGTGGCTAGTGACCGAGAGGCTGGGGCTCCCTGGGAGGTGATGTGGGTCTCAACCAGGATAGTGGCGCTGTGAGTCGGAAGTGGAAAACCACCGTCTTCTTTCACACAAGGTAAAAAACGTTCTGGAAGATCGGCGGCTGTGAGCAAGTCACCTGTGGGAGGCTGCTTCGTCTCCTCCGGGGTCGCAGACCCTCCGAGGGGTCTCCCGGCTCCCGCAGGTACCCCCCAGTGGGCCCGGCAGTGCCGCCTGCTCTGTTCCTCGCAAGGCGGCACAGCGAGTGCCGCATGTGCTGAGCGCCAGTCTCGTGCCCTATGTCATCTGGGCACCGAGGTGGCCATGGTCGTACCCCACGAGCTACGGAAAATTACAGTGGAGTTGGACAGACGGACGAATGCACAGGAGCCACCACGCGGTGGGTGAGGCCTATGAGGGAGGGGGCCTGGCTGCTGGGGGTCAGGGGAACCTTCCAGGGGCATGACTTCTCACCACCCCATCCCGGTTAAAGGAATGTTAGGTGGGCCTCTGAGGGGGACCGTGCCAGGACCCAGAGTGGAGGGAGTGAGGCGTGGTGAGCACACGCAGTGGGGGCAGGTAGGAGGCCGGTGGGGGTGGCAACAGAGGCCTTGGGGACCCCTCACAACGTGGACCTCCTCCCGAGTGGTGAGTGCCGAGGGCTGTGGCGGGGCCGTGGCTGTTACCAGGGGGCCACACTGGCAAGGTTGTGCTGGCTCTTCCCGTCTCGCAAGGACTTGGGGTCAGGGTGGAGACTGCACGGTCCTGCCACGCGTAGACGGGGGAGTGTCGCCGCTGAGAAACACCAAACCTTCCGCGGGCCGCCAGCAGTCGTTCCGTTTCCAGCGTTTGTGTCACCTCCCCGAGACCTTTTCAGTTGAGCTGCCGTGGTGGGGAGCAGGGTCGGGCGAGCCTTCCTTCTACGCGAGCACCGTCTCGAGGGCAGGCGCAGGGGCTGTTCAGAGGCTTGGCTGCCGGGACGGCCACCCTGGGAGCCCTCAGCGCGCCCGTGGGAGGACATGCCCGAGGGTCGAGCTCGGGAAGCCTCGGAGCAGGATTCTGGGTCGTAGAAGCTTCGCAAGAGAGCTTGATGGACCGACGGACCCGCTTCCCGGCCGCAGGGATGCCGCCGCCGGGTATCTTCCCCGACACTTGCTGTCGTCACATGCGTTGGTTTCTTCCAATTGAGCGGATGTCCCCTGGGGTCTCATCGCGCGCCAGATGTCAGTCAGTCCATCAACGAACGTCTGTGCCAGGCCCTGCCTGGGCTTGCTTTCCCTGGAGAACTGAGGGGCGGCGCATGGCCATTTCGGCTTCCTCTCCGGTGGCGCACCCGTCGCGGTGTCCGCTGAGGGGTCTTCACCCGCAGAACACCCAGGCTCAGCCATGAGGTAACTGAGAGCTTGTCGCC